AACTTGGAAATAAGACTGTTTTCCTTCCTTTTTAGACCTTCAATAAGTCACAAAAGAAGAAACTTCCAATGATCGGGCTGGGTTGTTTTGTATAGGGATTGAGAGAGCCATGAGGTCACATTTGCCCAATAAGGTTGCAGAATTGGGCAGAGATACCAGTGATGATAGTGTGGCCGCATTCTTTCCACTACTTATGAATAGGAGAAACGTAATCTTGCGTAGTCTAGTCGATGTAAGGTGCCATCGTAAAAGTCCTATACTCATGCTCTTTGTGGGTAACACAGATGGATAGTTTTGACAGTAACTTCCCAGATATCTTGCCAGTAAAGGGAGTTATTCTCCAATATCGCCTTGCCATTTGAGTATATAAGAGAATGGCTTGCGAATAGTGGCACCAAGCAGTGCTTGTTAAATACGAGAAATAGATGCCCTTCATGACTGATTATTTAAGCACAGTGTTTTGTACCATGTGGGTTTTGTGGGTGCAACTAAAAGGATGAGCCTTTGTTAAATTAACATTTTCAGCTGCTAGTATTGGAAAAAGCCAGGAGTTCTTCATAGTTTTTTTGGATGACCTTTAGTTTGCAGGTCTGAAATTAGTGAAATAGCTGCATTGTCTTATGGTGCATTTCCAGTGGGAATAATGGGTTTCTGTATAAAGGCAGCAGTGATGAGAGAGCAACAGTGAGTGAAAATTGAGAGAGGTTAAATTCTAGACTCGAGTGTAAAATAGTCATACATTGTGAAAGTTATTTCAGTCAAATATATTTTGGTTACCAAATGAAGGAAAGCAGCATGCCTGGAAGCGTAATGTCATTCTCAATGTCAACCCATCATTTAAAAGAAATTGGAGTATACCAATCAATAGTTTGCCCGAGTTGAGCAGCTAAATAATAATTTCTTAAGTGTGGTAGAGCAAGCCTGACAAATAATGTAATGATATACAAACCTGACAAATAGTGTAAGGATATAAATTATAGTTTTAGAGATATGTAGCTTTTTGCTTGCCCAGATACAAGCTTCATTGTGTCTTTGAGTTCTTGTGTTAGTCCCAGGAATGGTAGTGCTTGAAACATATGCAATAAATAGGGGAGAATGTTCATTTTAATGGTTATTAATCTACCCAATAGAAAACAGTCTCCTGTATGAGTGTAAATAATAGTAAAACACTGATCCAAATGAGGGTAAATCTCCAAGGTGAGCATTTTTTTCTAAGACGGAAAAGTCAAAGTTTAAATAAAGTTATCTGATTGTATGAGGAGGATGGTGGATAGGAATGGCAGTAAACTTAGAAACATTTACTTTGAAATCATAAGATTAGGTATCAATTAAGTTAAAAAGATGGGGCAGGGAGGTCATAGTGTTTATAACAGTGATGAATACATTGTTAGCATAAGCTACAACTTTATACTACATGTCGAAAATGGAGGTGGAAGTGTATAGCCGCAAGTAGTGGTTCAATATATAAAGTAAACAGAGGTGGGGAGAGGGGACATCCCTGTCATGTGCAATTATGGATTTGCAAGGAGTGAGGAGGGGCTCCTAGGATAGTAATCTGAGCAACTGGTCTATGATACAAGGTGAAAGGTCCATTTTTAAATGTTGTAGAAAATACATATGCTTTGGTTTTGGTAGAAATGCCATGAAGGTATATATATATGCAAATGTTTTTAATCTCTACATAGTGGTGTAAATGTTCTACTCATAAGTGACACCATGTCATATTTAGCAGGTGCACTTTAAAGATGTATGCCCTTTACAAATGTAGCAATAAGAGAAGGGTTTTTAAATAACAAAAAATAAGTTTACTAATTATAATAATGGCACCAGTTTATTTTAAAATTTAGAATGAGCAATGTAGCAGGGAATACATTTTAATTTGTAAACTTGCGTTCATTACATAATAAATATAGGCGGGGGTGTTGCTAGTTTCCAGAAACACCTAGGGCTTGAGCCAAAAGCAAAAATCAATGATCTTGACACTAACAAAAATGTGAGATATTGTCATGACACAACCCCTGCTTTTCTCTGTAGTATTCCCTTCTCTCTACACATAAACAGCATGCTGTTGATGCTCTCCAGGATCTCGATAAAAGCATAGCTGGGAACAAGAACATGTGGCACACCCAGGTATTCAATGGAATATTCCATGCTAACTAACAGAGGGGTGTGCAGAAAAGTTCTGTTCCCAACCACCCCTTCAATCAGTCACTTGGGATTGTGCAAATCTCTCCTCCTTAGGAACCCGGTGAAACACTGATTTATTTATTTTTAAATTGGCAACGGCTATGAAAACTAGCTGCCTGATGTAAAAAAACAGCACATCAATAGCCTCCTACCCGCTTCACCAAATATAGTGATCAAGGAGGAATAGTTCCACATTCAGGGCTTTAGCCTCCAAGGCCCACCCCAGCAACACCTATGATGATAATAATTAAGTCACCAAAATGATTGATTCTTAATGGACTGTCAGACAAATATAAGGAACTGTTAGGAGTATTAGTGTATATTTAAGAAATTAACTGACCCAGAGCATTATAATTTAGCATAATGGCCACAAACAGGTGTTCATGAAGTAATTTCTACTTTAATAAGAGCTTAATCACTACTAGAATATTGTTTGATACACTTAATTAATATCTCCTAAACAATGAAGGGATCCTTTAGCTATATGATAATTTATGTTTAGTGCTCAACGAGATCGTATTATTTTAAATGAATCTATCATTGCAAGTTCACTATAATCTGCTCATTACAAGAGTCTAAGCAAATACCTTTTTGTCATCTGTTAAAAAGGAGTTAAAGAGAAAGGAATTCATCAGACAAGATATTTTATTTGTGGCCATGATTCTGTCAATTTTGGGAACTTTTCGGAGCAATGGAATATTCTACATTTCATGGAGAAACTGAAATACTATGGTGGTTTAATGCTGCACAGACAGCCACCTTAGGTCCTTAGGGGGTTCCAGCAGGAGAGGAGGCACAGACTGCACCCCAGCTGCCCAGCCGTGTCAAGCAAAGCGGTGTCTTTATGGACTGCTGGGGAGATCAAAGACCTCCCTCACTGGCCAGTTGCACCCACTGTAGGAGGAAAGGGGGTGGAGGGGGGCCTAGAAAGCTTCCAGTTTCACTCTCCACCTCCACCTCTCCACCTGGTAATGCTCTGAATGGCCCAGTGATTCAGGGAGCCATTCAGAGCATTACCATAGCAACAATCTGATACTTTGAGTCCGGAGATTGTGAGAACCTTTACACCTGGCAATGAATAAGACTCGAAGCTCTCCACATTGCACCTCCAGCTCCAGGGCTCCAAGGTAACAAGAGGGAGGGGGTAACTAACTTAATTTGTGTTTTAATAATAATAATATATATATATATATATATATATATTTTAATAAAAAAAATAATAATAAAATGAATTCTTCCACAAAATAAATCCCAATCTTAGGCCCTCCTACACACAAACAGCCCGTATCCCACATCTGATCCCCTGCCTGCGACCGGGTATGTATGCCAGATTGCCAGCCTCTTCTCCTGAGGGGCCCAGGAGCTGGCCACCTCAGGGCCCCCCGAGGCTGTCAGTGCTGTCAGTGCTGTCACGAGGAGGGCGGGCGCGCGAGGGAGCATTCTACCCTGAGCGCTCTCTGCCCAGCTCCCTCACGTGCACCGCACTGATGCCAGAGCAGGAATATGATGTCATGGATGGCGCTGAACCAGATGCCCGCCGCCATATGTTGTGGCCCCGGCCTGCGCAGATTAAGCGCCCGGCGGGCCCCGGCTCTTTTTTCCCACCGGGGCCGCATGGATCGTGTGTACGCCACTGAATGCACACACTATGCCTCCTCTATACACATGCATTGCATTCCCCCTACAATCACAAACACACTGCCTCTCCTTCACACACACTGCATATTATATCCCAAAATGCCTCTCCTCCTGTGTAACCAAAAATCCTTGCACTGGCCCTCGACCTCTGCATCGAGCATTTGGAGTATTAGAGAGCACTGAGTTAATGTACATATGCTACATATGCTGTCTCTAAGAACCATCTGTAAACACACATGGCATTTAGTATTACAAAAATTCTCAAGTCACATAGATCTGCTTGTTTTTCTGTCAAAATTTTGTATATCTAGTGATTAAGTGCATCCTAGGAAAGCATAAATAATAGACGGATGACAATTGGTTGAAGTTAAACCTGTATAAGAAAAGAGACGCTTTATTTCTATTTGACAAACTAGATTTTGTTATACCCCTTACTCAATGTAGTCCACACAGCAACATCTGCTAGGCTATATAAATATATAATAATAATAATAATAATGTTAAAGGAACACTATAGGGTCAGGAACACAAACATGTATTCCTGACCCCATAGTGTTAAAAGCCCATCTAGCCCCCCTGGGCCCCTCATGCCACACTAAATATAGTAAAATCTTACTTGTATTCAAGCCTGAAGCTGTAGCTCTGCATGCTGTTTGTCTCAGAATAGCAAGCTGTCTGCTGACATCATCGGAAATGGTGGCCTGATCCATTCACAGTGTTTCTTCATAGGATTGGCTAAGACTGACAAGGAGGCAGATCAGGGGCAGAACCAGCACAATTCAAACACAGCCCTGGCCAATCAGCATCTCCTCATATAGATCAGGGTGGAGCAGTAGACATTGCTTACCTAGATTTCAGTAAGGCTTTTGACACTGTTGCACAGGCTTATCAATAAACTGCAATCTTTAAGTTTGGATTCCAATATTGTTGAATGGGTAAGGCAGTGGCTGAGTGACAGGCAACAGAGGGTTGTAGTTAATGGAATATATTCGAAGCTTGGACTTGTCACCAGTGGGGTACCTCAGGGATCTGTACTTGACCCATTCTCTTTAATATTTTTATTAGTGATATTGCAGAAGGTCTTGATGGTAAGGTATGTCTTTGTGCTGATGATACTAAGATATGTAACAGGGTTGATGTTCCAGGAGGGATAAGCCAAATGGCAAATGATTTAGGTAGACTAGAAAAATGGTCAGAATTATGGCAACTGACATTTAATGTGGATAAGTGCAAGATAATGCATCTTGGACGTAAAAACCCAAGGGCAGAGTACAGAATATTTGATAGAGTCCTAACCTCAACATATGAGGACAGGGATTTAGGGGTGATTATTTCTGATGACTTAAAGGTAGGCAGACAATGTAATAGAGCAGCAGGAAATGCTAGCAGAATGCTTGGTTGTATAGGGAGAGGTATTAGCAGTAGAAAGAGGGAAGTGCTCATGCCATTGTACAGAACACTGGTGAGACCTCACTTGGAGTATTGTACACAGTACTGGAGACCGTATCTTCAGAAGGATATTGATACCTTAGAGAGGGTTCAGAGAAGGGCTACTAAACTGGTTCATGGATTGCGGGATAAAACTTACCAGGAAAGGTTAAAGGATCTTAACATGTATAGCTTGGAGGAAAGACGAGACAGGGGGGATATGATAGCAACATTTAAATATATAAAGGGAATCAACACAGTAAAGGAGGAGACTATATTTAAAAGAAGAAAAACTACCACAACAAGAGGACATAGTCTTAAATTAGAGGGACAAAGGTTTAAAAATAATATCAGGAAGTATTACTTTACTGAGAGGGTAGTGGATGCATGGAATAGCCTTCCAGTTGAAGTGGTAGAGGTTAACACAGTAAAGGAGTTTAAGCATGCGTGGGATAGGCATAAGGCTATCCTAACTATAAGATAAGGCTAGGGACTAATGGAAGTATTTAGAAAATTGGGCAGACTAGATGGGCCGAATGGTTCTTATCTGCCGTCACATTCTATGTTTCTATGTCTATGTTTCTATGTTTCTAATTAATCTCTGAGGAATGTTCAATGTCTGTATGCAGGCGGTGGAGACACTGAATGTTTGGATGCATTTTAGGCAGCCATGACCCAGGAAGGATCTCTAACAGCCATATGAGGAGTGACCAGTGAAGTAATCACTAGGCTGTAATGTAAAACCTGCATTTTCTCTGAAAAGACAGTGTTTACAGCAAAAAGCCTGAAGGTAATGATTCTACTCACCAGAACATATTCAATAAGCTGTAGTTGTTCTGGTGACTATAATGTCCCTTTAACATTATTTAACCAGGCCTTTTTTTGCTACACAGTGAAATTACCCATTTTTTTCTGATTATTTATATTTTCTACCTTCATTAATATACTGCAGAGGATTTGTGGAATCTGCCGTAGACAATTTGGAGAAAAAAAGATTTACACTGAAACTAATAACTGTAGATATTTATAACCAGATAATGAAAGTACATATTTATTTAAACAGGCAACTTAGTATCCCTTTGCTCAATTATTTGTGCCATCCACTATGCACCATGGCCCGACTCCTGGGTGGTCAAGACAGAGCAATTTGCATTCATATCAGATGGCTAATTCATAGGAAGTGCAGACTGCAAGCTTTACACACTATTTATTTTTCACAGTTCTCATAAGTCAGACACTTCACTTAAATTCTTAACTCTGCTACCATGTCATATTAGATTGTAAGTTATGGAAAATGTTACTTAAGTCAACTAGCATGGCTGTTGTATGGGTTTATGTAGTTCTGTATGGAACATATGCAGCTGTATGTGAAATACATGATATTATTAGGCAGTGGTGTATCCTGGTTTTGTGCTGCCCTAGGCAGGACAAAACTCAGGCGCCCCCCTACCCCCACCCCACCCCCACCCAACCCTTCCCCCCCCGCCCCACCTTCTAAATACACACACACACACACAAACAGTCAGACACACACACAGGCAGACACAGACACACACACAGTCAGACACACACACACAGTCAGACACACAAACACACAGTCAGACACAAACACACAGTCACACACAGTCAGACACAAATACACACACACAGTCAGACATATCACTCACATTAACACTTTTTTTTTATTTAACTCCCCCCCCGCCACCTTACCTTTGGGAATGCTGGGGGGGGTTCCTCTCTCTCCCTGGTGGTCCCGTGGCTGCCGGTCGAGCTGCTGGGCGGGCGGCTGGCGAGGGAGCATTTCCTCTGAGCACTCTGCTCAGCTCCCTCGCGCGCCGCAGAGTGAGGCTGGGAGCTGGAATATGATGTCATATTCCGGCTCCCAGCCTCACTCTGCGGCGCGCGAGGGAGCTGAGCAGACCGCTCAGAGGAAGTGCTCCCTCGCCAGCCGCCTGCCCAGTATGTCAGTTAGCCGCAAGGCTAACAAGGCATTTGCCCTGGGCATTTGGGGGCCTCCTTAATTTTGGAGATATAACTCCACCTCCATCAGCACCATTTGGGCATCATTATACACCCAGAACAAGAGTTCTGAGGTGGCTAATGTAAATTCTGTGCAGATTTCTATACACAAAGGGAAATTTAATTGGCTGAGGGCGATCAGTTGACAGTATAAGCATTCGGCTTCTGCAACTCTACCTATTGCAGAGGATACTTGGAGCCCACTGGAAAACTATGTAAGAGGGAAAACCATTGTAAAATGGTTTGCTCCATTACATGAATAAAGCATTACTATACTTTTACCACAAATTGTATAAGATTCCTAGTGATAGGAATCTATAGTGTGTCCATAGTTCCCTATACAGGAGGTAACCCTTATATGTAGATACAAAAAGATTGGGCAGATGATCCCAAGCGCAATAAGCTATGGGAGCACCCAAAGAAAGGGATCTATGGGTATGCACTTGTATATATTTTAAATAAAAAATCTTTATTATAGGGTACGAATTCCCCAAAAAAGAAAAGGAAACTTAAAAAAACCATCACTTCTAAACTAAACACACAGGGAGGAACTCAAAGTAGAAGCAATATAGGATAGAGGGAGTATATATACACGGGGAGTCAAAATAATGATTGAATGCTAACTATAATTTATAATTTATAACGACTCACTTGTTGTGTATCCCTATTTGAATGCAATTCCCTCCAAAATAGAAGGATCCAAAAGTTACTGATAGCTCTACTATATTGAATGATAGATACTGAATTAAATGCTCGTGGTGTAGAGCTAAAAAAATACTCAGAGCTGATCTATATAAAGTAAATACTCGTGGTGTAGAAATAAATGCTCATGGTGTAGAGCTAAAAAAATACTCAGAGTTGATCTATGTAAGATAGATGCAGTTAGTTTCTGTCAAAGACTATAGACATAGAATAAATGTTCTGTCTGGTGATATGAACTTGAAAAGGACTGCTTAGCTCATTTGTGTGGAATAGATACAGAGTTTCTCTACTTGGGAACAGGCGGACACAAAAATACGTAGACCGACCTATTCCAAAACGCTCTGAGAAAAATTGACTCAGTGGATATAGAAAATGCAACTGTATCTTTAGCTAATCTGTAAAAAACGAATACAAAGTATCCCTACTTGAAAGATAGACAGATACAAAAGGTACACAGACTAGTCTAGTCCGAAAGGCTCTGAAAATATAATTGCCTCAAAGGGTATAGGTAGTGCAGCAGTATCTCAATATAGCCGTAGAGAGCGATTGCAAATGTAACTAGAACGTCTAGATCGAAGGGATGCCTAACTGCCTATAATAAGGAGTATCGGAGTCTAAATAAAGTACTCCCTAGACCAAAACGAGTCTCACTCCCCCACCCCGTGAGCACATAACTCAGTGCTGTGATTTAAAATAAAAAAGCATGAAACCTAACGTCCGTTTCGGCGCTGCTAAAGCGCCTTTGTCAAAGGTGAAAATGGCACTAATAGACGGTGAATATATACCAACCTGTATTCCCCTTTGGGCCAATCCAGGGTGTGGGTGTCGTTGTTACTTTTACCATCATAACCATTATAGCATACTGTAGTGGGTATTATGGTTGGATTAGCCTTTTAAATGTTTGTTAAAATCATTGTCAATGTCCAAAAGGAAATACCACCAATCATCATAAGACACATCAAACATCATTCACCTCATGGCACTAAGGACATGAATAGATCATTCAGGGGTGCTCTGAGCATGGTCTGCCCTGAGTTGGCTGCATGTTTAGAAAACACAGCATCATTAAACACATTATTTGGCAAAACAAAAGGATATTTGTAGTAATGAAGAAGGTGAGAGGGTTATTAGAGATATTTGTTACCCTCTTCTTTCTTATTCTCAAAGGAACAATCTTGTCACCATAACCATGTTCTGGTGCAAGGAGGTCCTTGGTGCCACTCTGTACATACATTTCTTACATAGTTTTGTGAATGGGAAGCTAGGGGAGCTAGTGACAGCCTATCACCAGCACACAGTCCAAGACTTCCTCATTAAAGCCTCAGATATTGTCAGAAGACAAGATGGAGGCAGAATTGACGGGCACTGTCTTCACAACTCTGAGGTTTAACCCATTGTAAATGGGTTAAACCCTTTAAACAGCTACTCCAAGCCTCAATGATCATGGTGATTCACTATGAAATGATGCACATACAAAAGTTCAACTTCTATGCTGCCAGAGATGTATCTCCACCTCCACGAGCATCACCAATGCATCCTGGAAACAGAAATCCAATGCCAGTACAGCCCCCTTGTGCCACCTAAGTCCTCCAATCATCCTGTCCTCCATGACATCCCACCTCCAGCAGCGAGGAGGAGTGACATTAGTGTAGGAGCCATGAACTTACAGCAGATATCTGACTTCTGAATCATATCTACCATATGTTGGGAGCTTTAAGGATTTATACAGCCAAACCAGAGAAAAATGGAAGGACCAAGAGAAAGTACAGCCTCTTCCTGCTCATTACGGGAGCAGTGAAGGTATAAAATAATCCTGATTATTTGCTACAAACAATGGTTGTTCTAAAATATATATTTTTATAAAATTTGTATTTTGATTGCACCATGAAAGAGGAGGGGACCAGTACATCCGGGGCCATTCCTTTATCTGAGATTTTAAGCTTTGTATTATATTAAAACACTTTCTTTTGTTTTTAAAGTAACAAATGGCAGCAGGTAGTGGAAGCAGTCCTAGAACTCAACACAGTGTTCTGCTGAAACTGAAAGCAGAAAACATAAACGCGTTTGTTTTTTGTCATTGACTATCTAACTTTTTGCGTGCATTACTGGTTTCCAGATAAAGGGATTTCATAAAATGTGGGGGAAAAGCAGAGCAGTTTTATCTACACATGGTGACTCGCCCTTGTGCACTAGACCTCTTTAGAAAAGCAGTTTGTATAAATTTTACAGAGGTGGCAACTGTACCAATTATGACCTGAAAC